AAAAATAATTAATTTAGATTTATAAAATGATTTACTTGTATTTCATTTATTTTAAAAACAAGCAAATATTTATTTAAATACAGTTCTTACATTTAAAAAAACTAATTTTCTTCTTGTAAGAAAATCTTTTTATTTCCAGTAATTCAAAATTTTACAGCTCATTTTACAAATTGAAAAAATATTACTTTATATTTATTACATATTTTCTAAAATCTAACAAATATTTTTTTAAGTTCAGAAATTATATTTAAGAAAATATATTTCTTTAATAAAAAGAATTTTTTTCAGTATACATTACCAATTTAAATTTCGATTTTCTTATTTCTTCATTAATTTAATAATTATAAATAATTATATTTATTTTTTCATGTATAATACTTATAGAAATATTTACAAAATATTACTACAAATATTTATTTTTTGTTTAATATAAATATTGTATAAAATATTTAGTCTATATTTTAATAATATTTTGAACCAGCTACGCAGCCCCTCGTCTATAATCGCATTTTTCGCTCCATCCATGTATTCTTATATCTATGTTTAATGCTGATAAAACATTTTTTCCTCAACATCTTTAATTATATTTATCATGATTATTGAATGAAACTTTAATGCGATCATAGACTAAAGGCTCGTCTACAATGTCTGTAAAGCGTCTTCTACAATGGCAGTAGGAATAGTAGTAAGAAATAAACAGTAAGCAAATGGACCAATCACAATCGATTATTCTTAAATCGTGAAAATGGAATTGATCAATTTGCTTACTGCATATTTTTTATTACTACTCCTACTGCCATTGTAAAAGACACTTAAGAATATGGCTGTAAGGTTGTAAGACGCGAAATGAATTATTTTCATTTGCTGACAACTCACGTTACAACTTTTCAGCTATACTCTTACATTCATTGTGGACGGGTCTTAAGTTTACACAGCAGCTTAAAACTGGTTTAATAACTACCGCAAATGGTGTACTCTTGAATCCGATTGGAATATATTCCTAGATCTGAAAGTATATACAAATTGGATACGAGAGATTCATCAACTACAGTTATTACTAAAACGATTTTTGGCTGAGACACACGGTACTTGTTTTCATGCTTGGAGTCGATTATGCATCTCGAAGCGGAGTGAAAATTACAAAAATGAGCAAATTCACTAGATATTGACCAATGAAGATACAAATATTCTAGTAAATTTATTCACTTTTGTCATTTTCACTCTGTTTTGAGATACGCAATCGACTCCCTGGATT